ATAGAATAGAATAGAATAGAATAGAATAGAATAGAATAGAATAGAATTCTTTATTGGCCAAGTGTCATTGGACACACAAGGAATTTGTTTTGGTGCAAATGCTCTCTGTGTTCTTAAAAAGAAAAAAATATATTCATGAAGAATCATAAGTATAACACTTAATAGTAGTCAAAGGGTACAAATAAGCAATCAAATCATACTAGGAAACATAATAGTAAGTGTTTGAATCAAGCCAAATTATACTAGTAAACAATTTAAAAAATCATAAGAATACAAGCAACAAAGTTACATTCATGCAGTCATAAGTGGAAGGAGATGGGTGAAAGGAAGGATGAGTAGATAATTAGTAATAGTAATGCATATTTAGTAAGTAGTTTGACAGTGTTAAGGAAATTATTTGTTTAGCAGAGTGATGGCGTTCAGAAAAAAACTATTCTTGTGTCTGGTTGTTCTGATGTGCAGTGCTCTATAACGTTGTTTTGAACGTAGAAGTTGAAACAGTTTACGTCTAGGATGTGTGTTGTCCGTAAATATTTTCACAGCCCTATTTTTGACTCGAGCATTATACAGGTCCTCAATTGAAGTCAGGTTGGTAGCAATTGTTTTTTCTGTTGTTCTAACTTTCCGTTGAAGTCTGTGTCTGTCTTGTTGGGTTGCAGAGCCAAACCAGACAGTTATAGAGGTGCAGATGACAGACCCAATCATTCCTTTGTAGAACTGTATCAGCAGCTCCTTGGGCTGTTTGAGCTTTCTCAGTTGGTGCAGAAAGAACATTCTTTGTTGTGCTTTTTTGATGACATTTTTGATATTAGGTGTCCATTTTAGGCCTTGAGATATGATAGAACCTAGAAATTTGAAGGTCTCTACTGTTGATACTGTGTTGTCTAGTATTGTAAGAAGTGGCAGTATGGAAGGTTTTCTCCTAAAGTCTACCACCATTTCTATGGTTTTGAGTGAGTTCAGTTCCAGATTGTTCCAGTCGCACCAAGAGGCAAGTGGTAAAACCTCCCATCTGTATGCGGATTCGTGGTTGTCTCGAATGAGACCAATCAGAGTGGTATCATCTGAAACTTCAGTAGTTTAATGGATGGATGGTTTGAGATGCAGTCATATGTATATAGGGAGAAGTGAAGTGGGGAAAGCACACAGCCTTGGGGGTGGGGGGACTGTGCTAATTGTACAGGTATCAGATGCGATAGCTTCACCTGCTGCTTCCTGTTTGTTAGGAAGTTTATGATCCACTTACAAGTGTGTTAGGGTACCGCTAGATGGTTTAGTTTAGTTAGAAGAATGTCTGGAATGATGGTATTGAATGCTGAACTAAAATCTACAAAGAGAACCCTTGAATAGGTATTTGGAGATTCAAGGTGTTGTAGAATGTAGTGCAGAACCATATTAACAGTATCATCTGTTGATCTATTTGATCCATGTTCTAGTTTTCTATAAGATTGAGGACATTGTCAGTATGAAATACAGACCAGCAGATTAAAGGAATATCATTATCCAACTATAGCCAGCTTCCAAGTTAAGGTGAACTTTTTTCAAAAATATTTGGTTCATTTCCCCCCTTGTTCTGAATCACCATTATTGCTGACATACTAATTTATCATGTTCTCTGTCTACAGGCACTAGCAGCTGCAGGTCGGAGTCCTCTTCGAAGTATTCATTCATCAATTAGATCTTCTCGACCCTATTCCACACACTCTGCAACACATTGTACACAAGACTGGCCACAGCAACATGATAAAGGATTGTGGCCTGATGAGGCGGAATCCAATGAGAAACTCAATAATAGCTTCCCATCAATATATTGCAGCTCCTCATATTGTGATAGCACCAGCTCTAGCAGCACCCGAAAGGCCAGGCCAGTCTCCCTTATAGTTCCCAGTCAGACAAGAGTGTGTGGCAGGCAATTCCACGGTAGTGCCAACAGCCTTGTTGAAGCGGTAAGTTGATGTCAGTTATAGTTGTAAACTTAAGAGCAAGCTCCCACATGTGAATTTTAAGATAAGCACTAATAAATAATTATACACATGCACACACATACATAAATATATATGAAAATATAAACAAACAGTAAGATGTACTTAACTAATTATTCCTTAAGTTGGTAACTTTAATAAGCTTCTTATCAAACATGCATGCTGCCTGACCCACAAAGATTCTGGGCAACTGACTGATCAACCAAAGAAATTACAATAAGATAATAAAAGATAAAAGTTGACAAACCTGAAGACCAAATGGAAAGAAGAGGTCTCATTCTCCCTCATTAACGCCCTGGATAAGCAAAAGCACAGTAGTGCTACTACAGAGAAGGCATGCTTTTGTGGTCCTGGGAGATGGTATTGTTTAATCAAAGGAACACAGAGCACGCTAAGTCTGCAAGATCGAAGTGGCCAGATAGATAGGACTACAGCCATAGTTGGAACTCATACTTCCAATGTATCTGGAGAAAACTCATTTCAGGAAGGCAAGATTCTTAGTCCCATTCATCAGGTAGAAGAGGGGTCTTCAAACTTGACAGCTCTAAGACTTGTGGACTTCAACTCCCAGAATTCCTCTTCTAGTCATGTTAGCTCAGGAATTCTCGGAGTTGAAGTCCACAAGTGATTTGCGAAGTTTGAAGACCCTTTAGCTAGAAACTTCAGTTTTTACCTGATATTTTTTCCTAATAGCATTAATAAATATATGGAAAGAAATAATTCAGTACAGACAGAATGCTTGCCGATAGAAATGGACTGGCCCAAGGTAAATAATTAATGTGATTAAAATATTTTAACTTTTGTCAGTTAAAACTAAATCTCCAATACACACCAGTCTAGTTGGATGACTTAGAACCAGTCAGTTAACCACTGCACTTTTACTATAGCCAGATTTCTTGGTGTTACATTAGTTTACAATGTGAAAAAAAATTATTCTTCTCAGTCCCTGCTATAAAAATTGGCAAACAAAACAAAACATATAACTTCTAACAACACGAGGGATTTTTTTAAAACCTAGCAAGTGGAATAAAGTGATGTCTTCATTGTTATCATCTCATTCAAACAATTTCTGACCTCATTTCCAGAAGTCCCCACTCTTCAAAGAATTTTTGGAAGAGGAATGGGCTTCAGAACAAAGGCAATATAACTGCCAAGGTTTTTCACTAATTATTTTTTCAATTTTATTAAGTTTCAAAGAGAGAAAAAATACGCTAGCAGAAAAGTAAAATAGATTGCATCTTGCATCTCCACTTTCATAGCCACATATCCAGCATCTGACAATTAAAGACAGGGATTCAATTGTGATTTTTATATAAAACAATTTCACTGGACTTTTTTGAATTTGCAGTTATAAATTCATCTCCCTAAATTTTATTTATCAAGTGTTTTGTATTTTGTTTTCTTTCACTGATTTCTTTGATCCTTGCTATAACAGTGATATTAATACTGATATCTACTTTTGTTCCTTGTTTTTGATGTCCTGGATTATGAAAGGTCTTGATTTCGGAAGGACTGGTGCAGTTTGCTCAAGATCCAAAGTTCATTGAGGTTACCACCCAAGAACTAGCTGATGCCTGTGACTTGACAATAGAAGAGATGGAGAATGCCGCGGACAACATTCTCAATGGTAACAGCAAACCAAGCCCCAATGGCAACCTCTTGCCTTTTGTTAACTGCAGGGACCCAGGGCAGGACTGTATGGGCGAAGAAGCAGAAGCAGCCCAAAACCCAGATTCTAGGAAAAGTCAAGAGGAATCTAAGGATACCAGGATTTATATCAGCAACCTGTAGTTGCTGAAGCTGAAAGTGATGCTGTTTTTTTAATTTGTTTCAATGTTCCTAATGGGTTTGTTTCAGAAGTGCCTCACTGTTCTCGTGACCAGGAGTAACCAGAACAGCATTCTTCATTTATTTCTGTCGGGAAGAATTGCAGAGTTGGGTGGTGTAAAAGAGTTTTTCAGGAGTGAATATAGAACCCCAGCATGTGTCCATGAAGGAAGAATCAGGAGAAGTAAAAGGCAGTGTGTCAGCTCCCTTCTTTTTTCAGTCCCTGCACAAGGAACAACAGCTGCTTCCTGAATGTGAAGGAAAACCTCAACTTCCTGTGGATGGCCGTAGCCAAAAGGACACTGTATCAAGCGGGTGTCTTTCAATTCTGCTTGTACAAAAAGGAATCATTTTGCACATGTTCTGTATGAGCCTCACTGTCTCCATAAAGCCAAGACCCTTCTGATCTACAAGTGGAATAGACTTCTGCAACAGATCCCACACGTTGCTGGGGAGAAGGAAGCAGAAGTTGCAAGATAGGAGATGCAGGTGGCAATATTGCAGATGTTTCTTGATGGAAATGCAGAGACTCCCAGGCAGTCTTCTCTGCCAATCAATCAGAGCTCAGGCAGTCATCTCTGCCAAATTGAGTTCAAGACAGTTAGCTGTGCCAATGGCTCCAAGAGCATGAAGCCAGCTCTGTCAAAAGGAGTTCAGGCAACCCGCCCATTTCTAAGAGAGGTGGTGATGGGCTTATGTAGATCTTTGTTCTTGCTATTTAATATTTTCTTGAGAGCATGTTCCAATTTTTATTTTTGGATATTTTATTTTATTGTATTTTATTTTTAAGGGAGAGGGATGGAGTGTTTACAGAGTTTGTAATCACCTGCCTTTTTGTTTTTCACCTTCACAAATGTTTAACATTGATTTATTTTTTTGTTTTTGTTTTCCTCCACTGACATTTGGTAGAAGCTAATGATATTAGAAGTTTTGCCAATCATAATGTATACCAGACTTTGTAATTTTATTTGAAGTAATGAAAATTTCCTTTTTTGTTGTTGTTTTATAATTTAAAGATAGTAGGCAATGCACTTGATATAATCTTGCACATATGAATGATTGATTTGGATTCTTTATAGTACTAGGTATATTTGCAATGTGTGGACGAATGAGCAGGACTGGGTGAATGAGTGAGCAAGTGAATACACAACTGAAAGTGTGCAACTGATACAGTTCTCCATTTCCTGGTTACAATTGAAGGAGAGCTTTATCTGGGGTGATTTGAGTGCAAAAATAAATCACTGTCTCTGCTTTTGAAAGGGGAATCAGTAACTCTTTGCATTTTCTGTTCCACAAGATATGCAAAAACAATGCAATAATATTAAATTTGAATAAAATGTGTGAATTGTGCTGGCATTAAAACTGTATAGAAAAACAAAACAAGGGGATTAAAAACAAACAAAAACAACCAAGTGAGAAGGAGTTATATTTCAATATATTCCGTGTGATGTTTTATTGCATTGATAATGTTTCTGTTGAAGAAACCGTAATACTTGAATTCAGGTCAGTTTCAGTATTTTTCAACTATTTTTTTAAACTGAATAGCAATTGTGCCAAGCAAATATAATGAATTAAGTTTGTTTAAGGGAAAAAATAACAATTCTTGTATATTTTGCTGCATGTAAAGTAAATCATTTCGTATTTGGAGTGTGCCAAGCTTTACCTTTGAACTTTAAGTGCTTTTCTACATGTGGTTGGGGGAAAGGGTATACTATTTTTTTCATTTTTTAATTTGTATAATGAACAAAGTGTACCTAGTGCTAAGTAATTATCCTGCAATCCACTGACAGGTTGAACATTAACTGGTTTTGCATATCTTGTGTTCATTTTCCTTATTCTGCACTTTCTTAAATATGCATGATAACGAATTGGGAAGACTATCTTGCATTTTGAAACTATGGATTCTTATCCAGCTTTCTTCTTTTGCATAGTTTCTCTCAGTGATTCTCCTAATTAAAAGGTGAATAATTCCATATGCTAGGATAATCAAATATATCCAATCCTGTAAACTGAGCTGGCATCAGCAACCTGGGACGGGAATATCTTCTTTTTATTATATGCTGCAAATATTACAGTGATTACTGTTATGACATCAAATAATGATTGTCAGGAGTTGGTTGAATAATTTCTATAAATTCAGTAGGACATAGTGTACCTTTAACCAAATTTGTACAAGTAGAGAAGCTTCACTTGTGTACTTCAGGAGACCAGTTAAATATTTTTCATGGTAAAATAAAAGAGAAAGAAACAGATTAAAGAAAATAAATAAGAATGTAACAGTTATTGTAACACATAGCCAATTTGAAACAGGAGAAAGGTGCACAACTATAAAATGAAGAATAACATAACAGTAACATTGCCAAGAAGTATTTAGAGATTGTGATTAAAAGTCTGGTATGTCAGAAATCTCATAATGAATAAATAAGACAAGAATTTTATATTTTATTATATTAACTGATTAAAAACATAGAATGTAATTATTTTCCAGAACTGAATTTACAAGTCCTTAATGAATAAGGAAAATTCATAAAATTATAAAGAACAAATATGGAAATATACGATATGGAATGTTGACCCTTTTCAAATATTTAAAAACAGATGACGGTTGCTTCTGTAGCCTCAGTTCACTTATTCATACATGCAGCAATGTAGTACTTGGAAATGTTTGAACATATCTATTACAACCTACCTCCTGATCATAAGGAAAGCATTTTGGCATAATTCAACATGAACCACTTCTTTGAGAATAAGTAGAATAATTTGAGTAGTTGATTAATATAATTATATGCTGCTCAGGATTAAAACTATAGACATAGTTTGCAAACCCTTCTGCAGGCCCACGTGCTCAATATAATGCTTTATAACACACAGGTCTCAAAAGGAGAGGGGATACATGCATCATGTTTATTAACTGATGGGGAAAATATACATAAATCACAGGTCAAAGCCAATTTGATGTAAATATTTCAAATAAAGTTTCTAACAGAACCAACTTTCCTTCACAGAAGATAGATGAGTAGTTTTTGGAGATTGGATAGGAAATGTTATTTTCAGGAAACCAAGGTCAGTGGCTATCCTACATGTAGGAATTCAACCTGTGAATAATCTCTGATTCTCTGAATACTGAAATTCAGATTTCTTCCAAATCAAGTAAAATCTACTTTAATAATGCTGTTTAGAGTACTGTTTATATAGCATATACAGGCCCCTTCAGAATTATAAAGCTGAATATTTAAATCATTATTTATAACCTTTGGTTAATGCAGGCATCCAAATTAAACTGTTTCAGAAAAAGTGATTTCTAATTATCTACTGGAACACATCCAAAGAAACAACCATCTCTCTGGGTAGTTAGTTTCGTCATCAAACAGCATTTAATATTCCTACCAAAATTTATTTTGAATCTGTCTTCCTATAGCTTAAATCTATTATATCATCTGTTGCACTCTGGAATGAGAAAACTGATCCTGACTTTTATGTGGTGTTCATTCAGGTATTTGGAGAGTGCTATTATATCCCTATTAAGTTGTTTTTCCCCCCTAAAGCCATTCATAGGCCTCCACCAATCTTTCTGAGTCACCCTATACAATATTTTATTCCAATCTGAAGGAACTACTGTTGAGTATCATGTTCAAGACAGTTCTATATCCATTCATATGCCATCCAGCCTATACTTAAGCCTATACAAACTTTGACAAATGTTTGTTGCAATCAAAATATATTATTCTCACTAATCTGACATATTTATTTTACCATTTGTTTCTAGGTGATAGTACATTCAGAAGTGTGAAAGCATATCAGTTTACTGAGATTTCTTTTAAATTCCAGTCTTTCAAAAAATATCCTACAATAAATAATTTTAGATACTTAGCATCATTATTTGTCATACTACACATCTGTTTCTATCTTCACAGTACAAAACTAATTTTTTCTACTATATTAAAGTAGTAGAATCTGAACATTCCTTATTCTGTTCTGCAATGTAACTATTCTTTTTCTTTAGGTAATTATACTCCATTATTCAAAGCCAAACAAATCCCACCTTTACTATGAACATAATAGTCATAAATTCAGCTGTTGAAAGTTTCAAAAGCCCTGCAAAATGTTTTTAAATATCCAAAACATTTATAATTATTAATAAACAAATCTTGCTCGCTAAAATTTTTGTGCATGTTAATCACAAAACATAAAATAGCTTCCCTGAAATTAGAAATTGGTTCTCAGTCAATAAATATACTGCCTATAAGACAGTAGATACAAAATCTGCCCAAGTATTGAATTTCTTCTTTCCTTCCTTTCTTCATCAGCTTCGTATTCTAGGAAATGCCTACAGAACTTCTACATATATTAAAGCATATTATGCCACAATATTTTATTCCAGTTTTATTTATTTAGTCTTTCCCTTGATATCATGGGGGGGGTGTAGTTCATATCATCATTTTGATCACTAGGCTGCAGTGCCTTGTAGTACATTCAGAAGTACTTTTAAGTACAATCGTGCTAATTGTAATTTTGACCTTGGGTAAAGAAATTGCAAAAGCACATGTTCTTGTGGGATTTAAATTGCTGACTTTTGGCCATAATAAAGAATTCCCCAAGCACCCACTAACTGAGATAATTCATTTATTGTTAAACCATAGTAGATGAAACATCACAAAGTAAAAAAAAAAGTAAAAAGTTCACATTACCTAAAACTCAAAGATACATTACATTGTGCAGAATATGAACAGTGTGAACCTCAAGACCAAATGCCATGAATCTACAGTATGGCTTATTCCCATAGAATCATACTGTAAGTATAGAAAGATTAATGTTTCCATACAAATTTATTTCAGATTATCATGAACTTTTCCCAAATTTTCTGGGGCTTTTAATATTGCATTGATAACATATTTTTAAAAAATCCTCTGTTGCTACTCAGAAATCTCAGAAACGGCTTAAAGTTTTTCACCAGAATTAGTTCACATTAATTGGTTGATCAATTGTATAAGCACTCAATTAGCAAGAAATCATAATACATACACATATTCTGACACATACCGTATTTCCCCATGTATAAGCACCCCCTTTGTATAAGCCACCCCCCCAATTTTTGGACTGTGAAGTTTTGAAAAAAATATTTTATTAGAGAAACAAGTTATGAAGAAAGAAAATTTACAAAGAAACAAAATTCGACGTCTAGATCTACAACTTCGGTCATGACGCCGAAAGCGGTGCGGGCGACGCTAGCAATCTACGCATCGGAACGAGAGTAGGAACGAAGCATTCAGGCCGATGCCTAGCGTATGCATTTCTATCGCGTACTCGCACTCGTAATCGTATCATCACGTACAATTTTTACAAAAAAGTATAGCATACTGCTGGAAAACCAGTTTATTCCTACTTTATTATTTTATGCATTTTTCACGTATAAAAAGTGTACCTGCTTTGTATATGCCACCCCCCTACTTTTTGGGCTTGAAAATTTTGGAAAAAAGGGGTGGCTTATACATGGGGAAATACGGTATACACAGTAGTCCTAAAATGTATGCTAACCCTCAATACAAATATAACAAATTCTGATGAACAAGGAATAAGATTAAAAACAACTAGTTGAATTATTTTATTTCACCAGCTGTGAAAAGGGTTAAATATGCAATTACAAAATTATTACTTGTGATAACTTTATCTCTTTACCGATGTCAAGATGTTTTCAGGTCAAGCTCTGCTACGCATGACTTACATTGATACACACATA